AATAGAGCTAGTTGTAATAAATCAGGGTCTTTTAATGTTTTTGTTCAAAATTATGTCACCTCTAATGCCAGCACGGACAACACATGACTTGTATTATTAGAGATGAGATTGAAAAGTGAAAGATTTCAATAATCCGTAACAAAGAGGGCTTATTACTATAATGTATCTCAAGAGCACATAGTATTGAGCAGGGATCACACTCCAGAGTTCCTAAGCTACACCTGATGCAAGGGAGGTATCAGTCTTCAGAAACAGCACATTTTCTAGCAATATCCCATACTGAAATGAAAAACGAAAGGAAAGTGGTTTGCCACAAGGGAAGCCATCAAATCCAAATCAATAAACTGCCTGAAGGCAACTTCAGAGGCATTTCAAATATAGTTCGACAAGTGGGTAGAACAATAGAAGAGGTGGGTTATTTGAAAGGAGCACAATATTGTAAAGGCAATGATTCAAAATAAGCATCTCCTCTTAAATAAAATTAATCTATGTCATTACTCAGTTATTTTAAAATCATAGCCTACTGAGAAAGCTTAAAGTCTTAAAGAATAACTCATTTATGCATTCCAAAAATAACTATACCGAACTGAGGCAAGGTTCCGTAACATCTCTGAAACCCTCACCTTTGTCTCTTAGTAAAGAACATTTGGATTAGCATTTAATATAACTTAAATTGTTACCATTTATTATTAACCCTTAAGCTGTGAGAATGAGTCATGAGACAAAGCCAAAATCTATGTCACTATTTTTTTCATATTTATATTTAAATAAATTGTAGTTTTTAGGGGTGGATGGGAGGATGCCATACTTAGGAAAACCATTTCTTTAAAGTTTGAAAAGAACCTAATCTTGTTACCCCACTGTTAGTGCTAGTATGTAGCAAAGGCCATATTCACTATATCCTACAAAGGACAGGAAAATACCATAGAATAAGTTCCTCACTCCTGCCATCCACTTCTTTACTGAATAGTCAGCAAGACCTCACTAATAAGCACAACAGAATCTAGCCAAGTTTATAAAAACAAGCAATGGATGGAAATATACCAAAATACCAAGAGTAGCTGCCTGGAAAAGGTCAAATGGAAGTTTTTCTTTTATACTTTAAAAACATTTCAAATAGCTCCACTTACAGGAATTTATCTTAAGGAAATAATCAGAGACGCACACAAAGCTTTTGATTCAAAGATGTTCAATGCAACCTTTTTTACATTTTAAAAATGGAGACAGACTGAAAGTTCAACACCAACACTAAAAGTGTTAATTGTTTAATGTCACGTCAAAACAATAAAATACAGAACAGTATTAAAAATAGAATATTTACAACATAGAATTTACTTAACAATATGTCTATACTCTATATCTACATTATGTTTTTTAAAATCACATTACCAAACATTATGTACAAAACGTTAAAAATTTTGTTGAAAAACAATACATCTAAATGTTACAGTATTAACCTGACTAGTGAGATTATAAATGATTTATATTGTCTACTTGATAAGTTCCCAAATGCTATCAAGAAACATATCATTCCTTGGAACTCTTATGTATTGCTTTTTGGGAACGTAAAATGGTATAGTCACGATGGAAAACAGTACAGTGGTTCCTAAAAAAATTAAACATAGAAATACCATGTTAACCAGCAATTCCACTTGTAGGTGTATACCCCCCAAAACTGGAAGCAGGGGCTCAAATGGATATTTGTACACAATGTTTGTAGCAGCATTATTCACAAAAGCCAAAAAGTGAAATAACCCAATGTCCACTGACAGACAAATGGATAAAGAGAAGGTGGTATATACATACAATGGACTATGATTCAGCCTTAAAAAGATACATGTTACAAAACAGATGAACCTCAAAGACATGCTCAAGTGAAATAAGCCAGACACAAAAGGACAAATACTGTATGATTCCACTTAAATGAGGTACCTAGAATGGTCAAATTCACAGAGACAGAAAGCAGAATAGTGTTACCAGGAGCTGCAGGGAAGGGAGGACTGGGTTTAACTGGTACCGAGTTTCAGTTTGGAGTGATGAAAAAGTTCTGGAGGTGGATAATGGTGATGACTGCACAACAGTACAAATGCACGTAATGCCATGCACATAAATGCCACTGAACTGTATGCTTACAAGCAGTTAAAATGGTAAATTTCATTAAGTACATTTTCCCACAATGAAAAAAAAATCTGAAAAAACATCACTTCTATAATCAAAAATTTTAAAACAAGTATTTTTAAAATGTATTTTTTATTAATTCCTATTAAGACTTTTTTAGAGCAGTTTAAGGTTCACAGCAAAATTGAGGGGAACATACAGAGAAAAACATGCAATTAGAAAGAGAAGAGAATGAACTACAAAATATAATCATCTCCACTAACCTGAAAGGGATGCCATTCTAAAGTTGAATTGGAGAGCCAAATTTCTTTCTAAAAGTGAAAGAAAAATCAGAGCAACAACTTTTTAAAAACAGTACCGTTGATAATGCTCAATGATAATGTCATTACTAAGCACAAAAAATGTTAGAAAGTAAACTATATACTGCAGTGACCTTTCAATAAGGACTACATGCTTCTTCCTACTCTACTTTTTTATGGAAAATTCTCTAGATTTCAGAGAAATGTCCAAAGTCACATAAACATATAATAAAAAGTATGACGTCAAGAACACTGAACAAATATCCACCAGACACAAAGCGATGTCACAAAAAAAGAGCAAAGCTTTGCGGTTAAACAGCTTTACCACTAAATTACTGTGTGATCTTAGCAAAGCTAAACAACTTGTTCGTCTCAGCCCCTTTCCCTGTCTCTAAAATTGGGATGGTGGAAGCTATTTTACAAATAACAAGTTGGATAGATTCAAATATCCCAGATGAAGCAAAATCCATCAACATAATATTCAAATTAATAATTTAACATTTTACTGAATATTTGCTTTAAAGGGTTACAATTTAGACTCAATCTTAAAAGAGGAATTGGTATTCTACAGAGGGGTGAGATTTCAGAGGGAGAGAACATGAAAAGGTCAGAAGTGGGGAAAAAGCCTGGTTTGTATTAAGGAACTCAAAATATTTCTGAATGACTAAAACTTAACAGTACACACGAGCAAGTGGAAGGAGGTGAGGTTGGAGGGTAGGAACTTTATTTAGATTGTCCATAATCTCCAGGAACACCTTCCCCAACTCTGATATGGAAAACCAATATTTTCCAAAACTAACTTAGAATGTTCTCCAAAGCTTCAGCATCACCCTACCCTTACTCAAACTGCTGACCTTATGCCCTTCCTCATGTAGAATTCTGTAGTCACCACTAGGCTGGAAAAATAAGTAGGGTCTTCTTTACCTTGCTAAGAAGTTTGGAAGGGCCACACCACTAAAAGATACTGAAGGAGGGGAGTAAACCAAGGACTTCTAATTCTTTATCGATATGAATATGTCTTCACCATTTTGTGGAAATATAATTCTCCTTCTCTAGACTGTTAGCTTCTCCAGGGGGGTAGGGATTGAGTCCCTTCACATCTGTATCCACAGAGCCTAGCACAGTGCCTTGCATATAGTGCAGGCTCAGGTTTGCTGAGATTGAAAGCAGAGGGTTTTTCTATACTTATGAAACGATGTAATCTACAACCATTTTGCTCCACTATTTTAAACGACTCCTTTGATTATACTGTTAAAAAACTGCTCATAAACTCCTTCCCCAAAGGATGTGATTAAATAGCAAAAGCTATCTGAACATAAAATACGTTCAAAAATTAATGAGCTATCTATAGCATGTGTGTCAGAAGTATACCTAGGCACTGTTAAAATCCAAAACAAACGGAGACCAGTCTTGAAAATTTCCTGGGCAGACAAAACCAGCACAGACATACAAACAAAGCTTAATTTAGCTTATTTTGAAAGACTAACTTGACCTGGGGCATCTTTTTGTTTCTGCCTCTGGAAATCAGAAGCAAAACTCCAACTGTTTCCCAAGGTTGCTATGAGGTAACCACTAATCAATTCCCTATCCTTTAAGAAAATGTTAATATTATAACCAATCAGTGTGAAGAATAAACAGTCCTTACTAAACAAGCTGCTTTATAACAATATAGCCCTGAGCCTAATTCCATGTTTCGATTTGAGTGCTCCCGGTTGGCAAACTGTCTTTTTGGTGTGTACACATGAACTTTTACTAATTACTACTTCCATGATTCAGTGGTTTTACTTGCTATATCTGAACTTTTGCAAGCATCCTCAGGAAATATTTTACAGGGTCTCAGGAAGTCACGCATGCTTGACACCAAGTACCAGAGGCTAAATCACACACACACATCCTCCAACTCCTCGCCCCCTGCGTTTAGACGCAACAGCAATTTAATAATACCCTCCCTTACGCTTAGGCGTTCCCAGTGGCGTTTCCCAATAAACAGTGGTTGCAAATAAACAGGCTGTGGTACCCAAGCCTCCTGCACGGAAAAGGCTGGTGATAAAAAAAGACCGGTCGGCAGTGGAACGTGCCCCTAAAGGACCGAGTTCCATTAGAGCTGAGCGATGACAGAGAGTTCCATTAGAAGGGCGAGGGCCCCTGTTTCTCCCCCGCCAATGTATTGGTGGAAGGAAATGAGCCGGCCTCCCCATCAGCCAGGAAAAGGAATATTAGCTCTTCCAAAGCGGTAACGGGAGTTACCCCAGAACGTCTCCCCAGGGGGTTAAGAGACATCCTCCCCTCCTCCGTCTCCGACCCCAAAACGCCCCTGCCTCAGGTCCGCTACTCACCGCTTTCAGACGCGCTCCAACGAAAACTTCCCGCCACCAGGCTTTCCTTTCTTTCCAGCCAGGAGCATCCACCCTTCCGGGTCGGTCCTTTCAACCAATTGCAAGTAATACCCTTCTCTTATTGGTCAAGGGGTGTGGCCACCATTTGCGTCACTGAACAAAGCCACAGGTGATTGGTTGATGTTGGGAGCAGGCTTAGCCAATGGGGAACGGCTTTGAATTGGGGTGTGGGCGGCTGCGTGTTTCCGGAAGACGTGGCGGCTTTCGCCTGGGCTCTTTCCCGGCTTCGTTCTCTCGACTTTGCTTCACACCCTGGCCGCTCCGAGGTGCTATCGACGCCGCCCTCACCCCTGCAGCCATGATCTCCTTAACGGACACACAGAGTAAGTACCTGCTCCGAGGCCCCACCTCGAGCCCCGGACACCCCTTCCTTGGGCTGGGTCTCGCCCGCCCGCCCCTCCGCCCGCCGGGGTCAATGAATGAAGCTCCGGAATGGGGGCGGCGGCCTGCGAGACACAGCTAGGGCTGTGGGCGTCTGGAGGGCTGCCTGGAGGAACCGAGGGCTAGACTCGCGGTGGTGGACCTGGCCTGGGGGGAGAGTCGGTGGGGTCTGGGGAGACGCCCTAGCTGGGGAGGGGGAGCTTTCCCCGAGCGTCTGTCTCGCACCCGGGGTAGCGCAGCTCTCACTCCCAGGGAGATGGGCGCTTTGTTCCCGCTGGTGGCCACGAGAGAAAGTTTGATGCGCTGTGCCCGCAGCCCACTCTTGGGGACATTTCTGCACGCGACATGCTTGGGGTCCTCTACAAGTTACTGCTGGTTGTTTGGGAGGCCGAGTTTTAAATGTTACCTATGATAGGCTGTTTTTGAAAATGTGCTTACGCTTAAACATTTTGAGTATTTGCCTTTTGCCACTACTGGAAGCAACCTTTTAAAAGTCCCTTGAAACAACTTCACTTTTCTACCGGCTACTGTCTCCCCAGTAGTAAACTCTGTGTTCAGTTAAACGATTTCTTTCTTTAATATTGTATATTGTGCTTTGGTGGCATGTTTTATTATTTTAGCATCTTTCTGCCTGCCACAAAGTTCTCCAGGCCTATCTTATCTCTAAGATTAACATTGCTGTCTGTTTTCTTTTTCTATCAATATAAAATTCCCACTTTTCTATCCCTTTTTGTCAATCTTAATAATTTTGTATTTACATTTCTGCCAGTGCTTCCTATCTTCTGATGGTCGTGATAGACTTCGTATCTCACTTTGTTTTATCTGCCACGCCTTTGTTTTTCTTATTTTAAATAACTTACTTGAATTTTAAAGATTTTAAGAACTAAACAGTCTGTTGAAATAAAAATAGAACTTCCTTTAAAAGTGCCCTGTTTTAAAGTCATGGCTAACTTGAACTTCACCGAGCTGCTAATAACTCCTGCACACACTGCCATCCCAGTCAGGCTCCCTCCCTTCCTCAAATTGGACTGGGTCTGTACCTTGGATGCCCATTTTGGTCTGCCTCTTCTGATCAGTGAAAATATAAGTATAGTCCTTTTTTGTTTGGGGTTTTTGTTTGTTTGTTTTTTTGTGGGATGTTTTGGTTTACTGTTATAATAAAAGTAGCCATTGTATATAATTGTATAAAAGCATCTTATTTCAGTTTACCGTGGGCTTTTATATAAATCGTTATCCTTAATTCTTATAAGAGCCCTGTAGAGTGGAGAGGAGTATGTCTCTTATAAATTAAAGGAGGCTCAAAAGAAATTCAGTGTATAATCATGAGGAAAGTGACAGAAACAAGACTTGATCCTAAGTCTGCTGGCTCAAAAACGTTTGTTCTTTTCACGGTACCCTACTAGCATCTAAGAAGACTTGCTATAAAGCTTATTTGAAATCTATCTTAGAATGATGAAATTGTTCCATAGCAAAAAGAGTTTCAGCAGTAGATATTTATCCTTTAGAATTGTGCATTGATTGTTTTTTGAGAGACTGTGTAGAATATTCAGAGCCTATTTTCTTTATGATGCAGTGCTCTGTTGCTCTCAGTTGAGACCCAGAATTTAGCAGAATTGTATACATAAATTGCTAGGATTTATTTCTAATACTACTAATTACTCAGAGGAAGTACTTAATCTCTACATAGTTTTCCTATCTAACTTTCCTATCTTAGTCTGTGATTATTACATAGGTAAATATATGAACTACTTATCCTGTGTGTAGAGATTCTTTTCTACTGAAGTCTTATAGGGACAAGTGCCTGATTTACATCCTTCCAAAAACCAAAACAAGGGGGTTGGGTTAGAATGTGGGCAGAATAGAAGCATTCTCCTCACTTCATTAAATTGATGAGGAGGATGAAATTATACTCTTTGCTGCGCATTTGCCAAGTGTCTTAGATAAGACAGTGGATCAGAACACAAAATGATTAGTGAACCAAAAGCTCTTTGGATTTCAAATGGTGTTTGTGTGTGTGTTTAACTGTAGGAATCAGCCATCATTCAAGTGACTTGCCAAAATTATTCTGGGATCCTGATTCTGGAAGAGAAGTACCTGATCATAGTAAATAGCAATTCATAATTGTTTTAAGGAATTCTATAGTAGCACCCCCTACCTCACCCCACCCGCCAAAAACCCCACAAGATTTATTGAGAGGGCTGGAGTGGGGTAGATCCTATGCTGCCTCTAAATCTTTACTTCATTATGTCACATTGCCTGAAATTCTACCATGGTGTTCAATTGAGTTCTTTATTGTGATATTTTTACTTTTTGAAAGGAATGGGTATAGTAAGAAAGACAATGCTGCCTTAAAATGTCTTAAATAAGATATCAAAATGCTAACAGTGATTGTCATTGGATTAAGAACAGCTCTCCTTATCAAATTTCTACAATAAGCTTTTGATTTTAGATACATTTGTTTTATTAGACTGCTTTTATCAGATTATGCTTTAAAAACACGCACGTGTGCACGTGTGTGTGTGTGTGTGTGCGCGCGAGAGCGGGAATGAAGGTTTGATAGTGCACAGAGGAAGATAAGTTTATTTTACTGCGTATGATTCTGGTGGTGAGAGAGCAGATCCAAGTAGGGCTTTAATAACCAGCGGGGTTGTGAATACATAGGCATAGGCAAGAATGGAATTCTGGAGGGGAGAAAATAACACAGCGAGGTCAGTTTGAGACTTTTGACCCATTCAGCTCAGGGACTATTGGGCAATAACATGCTAGTGTCCATTTTGGCAAAAATGTTACAGGCAACCCTCTCTTTCTGTACAACACTGGATAAAGTAGTGGGAATGTTTTGGTTTCCCCGTTATAGTTGTAAGATGTGGAGCCTGAAGACTGGATTTGAATTGTAGACGGACTCCACACCACACCCCTGTCTCTCCCTGCACCTGTCCCCCTCCACACGCACATTTGCTGATTCTGTGATCAAGGGCGAATTATTAATCTGAGTCTTCAGTTGCCCACATGAAACATGGGGCTGGTGCTACTTTTCAACACCCCGGTTTTGCTAAAGGAATTATGACATATTTGTATAAACATCTCATTAAATGTAAAACCATGTACAGACATTGTCCTTTTTCACTGCAGTCAATTTCATACTGACACCTCCTTAGTTATATTAGTAACAAGCTAATTATATTAAACCTAAAGATGCTTCTCCCAGAAGTTCAGCCTACTCCAGTGCCCTTGAATTTCATTTAATCAAACATATTTAACCTGGCAAAAAAAAAAATCTCTAGAATAATGTAATGATGCCTACCTTGCAGTAGTGTGGGAGGATTAAGTTCTGTAAGATATGTAAAGCACCTCATAATGGGCAATTCGTGGTAAATTCTCAATACGTAGTAGGCATATTGCCATATAGTTTCCTTTCTGATGAACAAACATCTCAAAATGTGTAAATAATCATTAGGACAATTTGTGAAAAGATAGAAATGAGTTGTATTTAAATAACTCAGCTGCCAGTGACTAAATCCTAACTACTAAATAGTTATTTAATGGAATTGTCCTTGCTGTTTTGTCCATATTTTCCTGTAGGAAATTATGTCTGACGCCTAAACAGTTATTTGGTTATTCTTCTAAAGCATTTAAGCATGATGGTATGAGCCTCCAATTTTCATGAGAATTTGTGTCCATGGAATACACTTACCAGTGTATTTATGGACAGGTACCCGAATTCTTTTAGACTAACTTTCGGAGAACAAGGCAGCTGGAATGGGAGGCAGGAGTTAACTGTAAATTGAGGTGAAGGATGTCGAAAAAGGCATAGGATGTAAATTTTCAACTCATCATAACATTTTACATGGCTTAAATTTTTAAGTAGCTGTGACTTAGATTTTAGCTCTCCGGAGCCGAGGCAAAAAAGTTAAGTAACAGATCAGAAATCACTATTGTGTATTTAAAATTGTGTTTCCCAAAATATGGCAGTTTCGGTCTGATTTATTATTTTATGCAGATAGTGCTGCTAGGTAAAATAAGGATTGGTGACTGTTTCCTGAAATCAAAACTGAAATGATCAAGGAACTAATTTCGTGGATTGTGCTTTGTAACGTTAACAGAATAGTACAACTGTAACCTTAGAAAGTTAAGACTCTTCAGACATAAAGATAAGTCTAGGGAGTGTAAAGGCAATAAAATATTAGTTTTGTATAAAGAGTAACCATAGACGTAAAAGCTTATACTTTGTCCATCACTCTATACACAGTACCTAGAACAGTTGCTGGCATTTAGGAGTTGATCAACAATTCTTTGTTTTTGAATGAAAAAGTAAAAACCCAGAATATTAATATTAGGTAAAACAGTGTTCTTTGAAATGTTGGAGAGGTGATTTTAGGACTCTTAGACTAAATAGGTGAATGGATGCATAGTTGAGAGAGACTTGTGGAAGATAAATCCATAATAAGCCATGAAGAAGTTAAAAGTCTGAAAATTAACTTTGGAGGAGACGGCTTCTTGACTCAGAATCTCTCCTGTTGTCATTGTGAGAAGCAGTGTGTGCTGACCTCCCATAGCATTTCCAGTGGGTTAAGGAAGGAATTCGTTTTCAGAAGGGAAAGAAGGAACTGCAGATATTGTGCATACAAATACTAGTCATGGGATATGAAAGATGAAGAGGAGACAAAAGTGAACCCACATACTTATGTCTGATGCCAGAAGGGCTCTTGGGAGGGAAAAAACAATAAAACCAAAGGTTTAGATTCCTGATTTGTCTTTCTCTATTATGGGTATGTTTGTGAGAAATGCTCTCTCTCATATAAGGATTAGAAATTCCCATTCATATTTTAAATTTTGGGAGTAATTTTCTGTTGTTAATTTAATTTGTTCTGGATCTTAACGAATGTCGTTATGTCAGCCTGCGATGTTGGGATCCTATTTCCTTATATCAGTCAAAAGAAAAACTGAAAATTTTTTCTTGCTTAGTTTATGAGGATCTTAATGTAACTTTACTTTTGCTGTACTCTTAACCATATAACTTATATTGCAGAAATTGGAATGGGATTAACAGGATTTGGAGTGTTTTTCCTGTTCTTTGGAATGATTCTCTTTTTTGACAAAGCACTACTGGCTATTGGAAATGTGAGTTTTTCAATATATATTTTAACTAAATTCATAAGGAAGTTTTAACTACTAATGAACTATTGCCTGCTATGAAATTGGGGGGAAATAATTCACTGTTACTCATGTGAAGACTCCTGTTACATCCTCTGATTTCATCAGGGGTGGAACCTGTCAGCTTTCTGTTTAAATAAAAGATAAATGCTTAATGAAGTTTTCTAATTCCATAACTGCTCTGTTAAGTGTTTGATTTTTGATTTACAATAGATTAAATCAAGACTGCCTCAAATAGTTCAAAATAGATGACTTGATAGCCCCGTGTCTTGGTAAATTTGTTAATGTTTTGACTTTACACATCTGAGATTTAACATTTGCTTAAATAGCATAAAATGAACAGATTTTTTAAAACCACTTAAACCTTTAAAAAATATATCTATATTAATAATTGACCTGCTAAGAAAGGTGTGTATATTGTTTATTTGGAATGTATACTCTGTTGTCCATGTGTGAAGGCTGTGCAAGAGTCCTAGAAATAAATAATAACCCTTCTAAGAGGGCAATAAAGTCACTGAATAACAGTAAAATATTTTTGAAGTGTATGTTAACATTGGGCTTTTAATTGGACATTGGAAAATATAAAGGGTAACAATTGTTCAAAATTAATGTTTTAATAAACAATAATATAAACAGCATTGGTATCTCAGAATGTGAAGCCTAACCATTAGGCTTAATAAATAGTTTTGTGAAATATTTTTCGCTGAAGAATGGTTATGAAGAAAGGCAAGTGTTTGGGAATAAAACCTGGGAAAACGCAGGCTTTTAGTCAATCACCATCTCTTGTCCATTGTCTGAAAACATACAAACTATAAGTATATTTGAGAATGCATGGCTGTATTTCATTTCTGCTGCTCCCAGATTTCCGGAATTAATAAAACTAGGATCTTCTTGCTGGCTCTGAGTGGTTTCTTCTACTACCAACTGGGCCATGTCAGGTTTTCTCCCATCCATAGGAACTCCTATCACCCGTGATCAAGTTTTCAGAACCAGGAGTACCTTCGGCTGACATATTTACGGGCACCTTCCCTCTCTTGCCTTGCCGCTCATCTGCTTGACTAAGCCATCGCCATCTAGCTAAAGCTGGGGAAACCACTGCAGATGCAGATGCTGCTGGGTGACACCTAATCTTTCTTTGTTTCTCTTTTCTTCATCTAATCAAGATAGAAGAGGACTGAACAGAGTGGGATACAACTACAGCTTTAACGTGGTTCTGCCTCTTGGTGTGCATTGTAGTTTTCTCTGGCCAGTTGCTCACATTAAAAGCCACATGTCTTTTTTATCATATTTAGCTTTGACCTTACCCCTTCAAACACATGCAGTGCATTTAACTGCTTTTTCTGTGTTACATTTTCCTCCTCTTCTAGGTTTTATTTGTGGCTGGCTTGGCTTTTGTAATTGGTTTAGAAAGAACATTCAGATTCTTCTTCCAAAAACATAAAATGAAAGCTACAGGATTTTTCCTGGGTGGTGTATTTGTAGTCCTGATTGGTTGGCCTTTGATAGGCATGATCTTCGAAATTTATGGATTCTTTCTCTTGTTCAGGTAAGGCAACCATTTTATTTTATTGTTTCTCTTTCAGTAAAACGTAATGTCAAATAATTATTACAGAAACCCAGATGTGTTTATCAGATGCAGATGATTGCTTATGTCAGGGTATAAATTATTTTATAAAGTATTTTCAATGGAATAAAATTTATTTTGTTGGCATTTTACGGCACTCTTTATGTTTGGTATTTTCATCAACCAGACAGTGATAGATAGATAGATAGATAGATAGATAGATAGATAGATAGAGACAGATAGGTAGATAGATAGATAGATCTATCCAGCATTTTAATATGTAGACCTGATGCTGTACAGTTACTGTTACTTGATGACACTTTCTTTAGTGCATGTAGATATTAGAAAATTTTGGACCAAATACATTATGGGAGGTTTTGATCAGTTAATATTTTACAAATGCCACTTACCCAGTAAATAATAGTATGCAGTGTGAGAAAGTCATTTCAAGTAAGTTGGTTTAATTATTTATTCAAGAAAGGTGTATCATTTGTCTTCTATCTGCCAAGCACCATATTGCCCACAGGAAACAAACATTATTAAGTGCCAAATCTGCTTTAGAGAATCTCTCATTTCTAATATGGGAAATAGACTGTAAAGATACCAGTAGGATGTAATAGTAATGCCATTATAGATGTTTATGCAGAATGTTATGAGCACAACTAAGGAAGGGATCAAATCCAGGGAGAGGTAAGAAATAATTGAATTTTGAAGTCTCATAAAACATTCAAAACTTTAACAGGATCCTTTCTTTTTACATGGCTAACTGTTCATTTTGGTAATAGAGAATGTGTTCATTCTAAGAACTTTCTTCACCTCTCCCAGGGGCTTCTTTCCTGTGGTTGTTGGATTTATTAGAAGAGTGCCAGTCCTTGGATCACTCTTGAATTTACCTGGAATTAGATCAGTAAGTAATCATATATTTAACAATATGTTTTTTAAACCATTAAAATAAATGCTCTCTGGGGAGAGGGGCGGCTTGGGAGTTTGGGGTTAGCAGATGCAAACTATTATATATAGAATGAGTAAAGTACAATGTCCTACTGTATAGCACAGGGAATTATATTCAATATCAGGTGATAAACCATAATGGAAAAGAATATAAAAAAGAATGTGTATGTGTGTGTGTGTATACACACACACACACACACACACACACGTATAACTGAATCACTTTGTTGTAGAGCAGAAATTAATACAACATTGTAAATCAGCTATACTTCAATAATTTTTAAAAGTTTTTTAAATAAAATAAAAATTTTAAAGATAAATAAATGCTCTCTGATGCTCTTTGTAGAAATTTGAGGAATTGATACATGATTGATAAGTTTTTCATTATGATATGAGTGGTTGCATTGCATAGATCGTGGTTACCATGAATACCAGAGAAAATAATCATTGCTAAACCTATAGAACCTGAAATATGGTTTCACTGTATCCATTTTTAATGTTGTTCTCTCTTTTTTCATGTAACTTGGATTGATATGCTATGCTGCCTTTCTCTTTGAGAGTTCAAGGCACTTTTCAATTAACTTTTATATGATCTCTAATTTTAGAAGCAATAATATAAAAGGACACCATTATTTCTTACAAATATTTTCTCTCTTAGACTGTATCACCAAATGGAGTGCTTTAAGACAATTAAATAAAGCACTGTGATACTGGGAGTCAGATCATAAAATTCCGTTCCTAGCTCTGTCCACAGTTAGAACAGTCTTGTCAAATCTGTTTCTCCAGGGCGGGCAGTCAACTTCTTAAAGTTGTTTGCAGACTTTTGTAGATGCTTCTAGAGAGGTAGTTCATAGCATTTATTGAATTCTCAAAGAGCTAAAGGATGGCTTACCCACTAAAAATAGGTACCACTATAAACCTAATCTCATTTCCATCCTCAAATCAGAACCTTGCAGCCCAGATAACCTAGACATTTTTTGAAGTTACCTTTGGAGAGACAATGTTGTGCTTTCTCTCCACCTAAATTTACCGTAAAATTCTAATGAATCCATGAGTGCTTTGAGAGCAACTTTTAGTTTCAGTGTGCCAATCGATCTGTTTGCAATAATATAAAATGCTAGAACCTAGGCTTATAGGGGTATATCCTGATTTCATTTGCATTAATCCCCAAACTCGTACAGTAGTCAATGTTGTTTATACTTAGAATGTCTTTTGAATGTACTAAAACTTCTAGTTATAGAGCTGTAATCATTAATCATGTCCTTAATTTAAGGATTCTTCAGTATTTGCATAAATGGACATCCAATACTATAAATTGTGTTCCCTATTATTATTACTTCATTGTAATACATGCTTAAGTAAAAATGTGAATAATGAAATGAAAGAAAGGGTTAGATGATTGCTAGATTTTGGTAGTGTTATATAGTCACTTGGGTTATGTAACTTGTAATATCTTCACTAATTACTTTGTTTCAACATCTGTTTGCATCACCATCTGGAATGCTGAAGAAAGCCCAATTGCTTTATATTTGGGGTGGAGTAACCAAAGTAAATAACCACTTATATTAATGTGTGTTCAAACTTATGTTCCATAATTATCGATTTATGCTTGCATCATTAAGTCTCTTTTTAATGTCATTGACACTTTCAGTCTGAAGTCCAGAATACACATTTAAAGTATTTTTAGTCAGTAGCTGTTGTTAATTATTGAACTTAATGGAACTAAATCTGTTTGTTCAAAGACTACATAAGCCCGGAAGAGATCCACAATAATGGTCAGTTGAAATACCTTATTGGGTTCATTAATGCATGAATGGCTGACATTTCAGCTTTTTATTTTTTTACTTTTTTTTGTTGAGCTAGCAGCGTTAACTTCATCTTATCCAATTTTTTTATTAATTGCATTGTGTTTCTTGTATTGCACCCTTAAAGTCCTATGTATAACATGTCATGCAGAAACAAGTTACAGAAAAATAATTTTTTTATATACATTTATGTGTCAGAAGATGGTGGTGAGTAGTACTGGATTAATCGTTGTCAGTCATACCTTAAATTTCCACAAATCTTATAAAGCTGGGTTTTTTAATCAACATTTGAAGTGTTGATGTAATATTTTATAGTGCTCTAGGCTTTCATTTAATTATCTGTTTTTCTTCTTGCAGTTTGTAGATAAAGTCGGAGAAAGCAACAATATGGTATAACAACAAGTGAATTGAAGACTCATTTAAAATATTGTATTATTTATAAAATCCTTTGAAGAATATTCAGCACAAAATTAAATTACATGAAATAGCTTGTAATGTTCCTTACAGAAGTTTAAAACGTGTAGCCTACAGAGTAGCAACAGCAGTTAACAAAGAAGCAATGAAAACAGACTTCTAACCAAGTCATCTAAGAAGTCAGCAAGCAAACCGAAGGAGATGAAATCTATGTTACAATGCATATTGAAACTCTTGAAGGGGATTTTTACTGTTTTTCCACAATGTGTGAAACACAGCCATCCTTAGAGAACTGTAGTGCCTGTTTCTTTTCTTTTTATTTTGAAGATGTAAGCACACCCATAGGCATTTGCTTTTTAGAACTGTAATGTCCTCTGCAACAGCGAAAATATTTCCAGTTGCACTTTGTCTCTGAGAGTGATGCATGAGTTAGATTGGATTATGTCATCGTGATATATTAAAACCAGGAAAACCCAGTGTCGATGTATGAATTACTTTTTTTCTTTTTTCTTTTTTCTTTTTTTTTGGTAAACGTATGGTTAAAATAAAACTTTTGTGCTTCTTCTGAATCTTAATATTTTAAAGCCAGATGAAAATCTGAACTAGATATTCTTTGTTGGAATATGCAAAGGTTATTCTTTACTAGCTTGTAGTTTCTAAGTTATAGCTGACTCAGCACTTTTTCTTTCAGGAACACATTCTGGAAGTCCTCATACTTCTTGGGACTCTCACGTGAGCATCTGTATCTTTCATGACATGTAAGCATTTAACAAAAAAAGCATTCTTGGTGATGTAGGAGTCTGTTACCTAGCTCATTTCATTGAATAGTTTGTTATTTAAGATATTACATTATGCAACCCAAATGGATATTTCCATGTTGTGATCCAGTTTTTCTTTTTCTTTTATTTTTTAAAATTTAGCGGTGATTTATTATTTTGCTTTTCATAAAATTACTACTGGTAATATTTACTTTAAGATGTACCGTGTTAAAAGGTTAAACTTACAGCTGTTTTTTAAGGGCTATTTACATAAGCCAAGTTTTCCCTTATTTTCAGCTTTTTTCATAACATAAAAATCAATATGCATAATGTGTGTTTCATATGATCACTCTTCATTTGAGTTCATGGAGAGAATGTCTGAGTTCACATACTAAATTATTTTACTGTAATTAAACTGGCTATAGTTCTGAAAAACATTACACTACAAAAATGATGTGTTGTCTTCTCTACTGTTGCTGCTTGACAGGCAGTAGGAAACAGTAGTTGTTTCTTCATTAGTAGTTTTCCAAGGTGGCACCCTTTTGATAGATGTAGGAAGACATTTCAAGAGTCATAGTACTATTTGTTTTACCACTAATGATTATACTATTTACTCTTTTTTTAACAGTTGCAAAGCTTTTTAATGTATAAAATCATAATTGAAATTTGTGATTTTTATTGACAAATGTGTCTACAAAATATATTACAGCCTATGGCCTATGTTATTTTTAGTTAAATCTCTTGATGCACAGAGAAGTTCCAACCTTGCTCATCTAAAGAAGGGAGGACTTGGTAGATAGTCTAATGGTTCAGCCTTGTGGATTACTGTCTTTTTGGTACTGGCATTTGACTTATAATCTGTGAAAACAGATGATATTGACAAAATGAGACTCCTACCTCAATAGTTCATGGAATAATAAGAAACCTAGTGTTGTGTCTAATGTTCTTCAAAAGAGTAATATCCTCACTTGGAGAGTGTCAAATATATACATATTTTGGGGGTTGACTGATACAAGTTGCCCTGTAGGACTCTGTTATACATATTTTTGACCCATATTATTTACAGTGGCTAGATAATTCTACCTTTTTAAAGCAAGAACAGTATCTGTTAATGTATGGAACATTAATGTATTATTTAGCTCCTTTGTAGACATGAATTTCTATCAAAATGTTCTTTGCACTGTAACAGAGATCTCTTTTTCAGCAATCTTATTTCAGAAAGCATTATTAGAAATGTGTAAAGGATGTGATAATCTCCCAGTCCTTAGTAAGAGTGAGAGGCTTGGAGCAGTTTTCAGTTTTAAATGAGTCCACAGTTTATCTCAAATGTGAGTTTGGGACTGCTTGGCAGCATTGTATGTTTCTTATTCAGAACCACTGATGAGGCTCTGTTTTTAAACATACTTGTCTTCTGACAGAAAGGACTGTACATCATATTGTTTCTTCCTTTCCAAAATTAGTCTTTTGTCTTTGTGACAAAAAACATACTCTGATTATTGCTATAAAGATGGAGGAGAAGGTCTAATACTACTTAGCCTTAAGTGTTTCTGGCATTGTTCAAATGTATTTTCTGTAAACAGAAACCTATTTGCAATGTTTTCCTTTTGCCCTTATAAATTGTAATTCCTGGAATACTGCTGCTTTTAAAAGTCTCACAGATTATATGATCTAACAGTTGAATATTGTAAATACACTTGTCTTACTTCTCAATAAAAGGGTACTTTTCTATTAACTGGTGGTTGTCTCAACTTGGGCTGCTATAACAAAATTCCATAGACTGGCTTACACAACAGATGTTTATTTCTCATGGTTCTGCATCCTGGGAAGTCCAAAATGAAGGTGCTGGCAGATTCAGTTCCTGGAGAGGGCCCTCTTCCTGGCTTGCAGACAGCTGCCTTCTCACTGTGTCCTCACATGGCAGAGAAAAAGAGAAGGAACAAGTTCTCATCTCTCTCCTAATACGGACACTAATCCCTTAATGAGGAGCCCCATCTTGATAACCTCATCTAAACCTCATTACCTCCCAAAGGCCCACCCCCAAATACCATGATGTTGGGGGTTAGGGTTTCAACATGTGAATTTGGAGGGAACACATTCAATCCATAACAATGGTCAGTTGTATTTTTATTAAGAAATTCTAAAACTTTAGCATTGCACAATAACCCACCTCGTGTTTTGTTTTAACATCTTTATTGGAGTATAATTGCTTTACAACGGTGTGTTAGTTTCTGCTTTATAACAAAGTGAATCAACTATACATATACATATATCCCCATTATCTCCTCCCTCTTGCATCTCCCTCCCACCCTCCCTATCCGACCCCTCTAGGTGGTCACAAAGCACCGAGCTGGTCTCCCTGTGCTATGCGGCTGCTTCCCACTAGCTATCTGTTTTACACTTGGTAGTGTATATATGTCCATGCCACTCTCTCACTTCGCCCCAGCTTACCCTTCCCCCTCCCCATGTCCTCAAGTCCATTCTCTACGTCTGTGTCTTTATTCCTGTCCTGCCCCTAGGTTCTTCAGAACCATTTTTTTTTTTAGATTCTATATATATGTGTTAGCATATGGTATTTGTTTTTCTCTTCCTGACTTACTTCACTCTGTTTGACAGTCTCTAAGTCCATCCATCTCACTATAGGTGACTCAATTTCGTTTCTTTGTATGGCTGAGTAATACTCCATTGTATATATGTGCCACATCTTTATCCATTCATCTGTCAATGGACACTTAGGTTGCTTCCATGTCCTGGCTATTGTAAATAGAGCTGCAATGAACATTGTGGTACATGACTCTTTGAATTATGGTTTTCTCAGGGTATATGACCAGTAGTGGGATTGCTGTGTCATAACCTCGTGTTTTTTAAATTAGCCTTATATGCAGTTTCCTTTTTTATATAATGGTCACATCTTCCATATCCAAACTGTTTAAATGTAATCATAAATAGAAATAGGCTTCAGGTAAAAAAGTGAGCAGTGAATTTAGAAATTAGTGGAGAAATACTTAATGTTTTTTTCTCTACATGGAAGGAATATATAATACTTAAGTATTTGTGACTTAAATAAAATCACTTAACGTCTGCAATGTTTTGATCTTATACTTTAGTAAGGCTGAAAACCACCGGCCAAATCTACCAGTTAAGGTACCCAATAAGTATTTGTTGAATCCAATCATTAAACTGCAAGTCTTGACTATTGTCTGGTGAATCTGTTTTTAAATACAGTATCCAGCACATCTTTCTAACACTGTCCTCTGGGCTGAAAGCTTCCAACTTCTGCTCTTCTGCCATTTGTATCTATATAGGAGGTTGGACATAGAAATGGCGTCCCCAAATCCTTCATTCACTGACACATTTTCATGGTCTTACCTTCACCAACTCTAAGACCTATTAAAAGGTCACCTCTGTTTGACTGACTAGGCCAAAACAGCTGGCCCTTCCTTGTCCTCTCCTAGAACCTGCCAATTGTTTTGTGGTATTTACATGGTTTGCGAAAAGACATTCTTAAAGTTCAAAGCCTTAAGTAAAGGACAGTAAAGACACTGGCCAATGAGTGGGGAGTTTTATTTTGGATAGCAGGCCTTCTCAGTGTCCCTAAATCTCCTGCTAAAACCGGTAGCCCTTTGGGGAAATTACTTCTTCCACCCCTTTGTGAGACAGCTGGCCTATGGGGCTGACTGGCCTTCAGAGAATAAAGCCAAAGTAGGACTTGAACCCAATGATCTCATCATCCTGTACCAAAACCCTCTATTCTGTTATCAGAGAGTAATTTGGATACTTGAGTATCTCAATAGCCATATTGTCCAGGTAATCTTACCCAAGATAGGAGCTGTTTGAGAAAGACAAATATCACGTGATAGCACTTATGTGTGATTTCTAAAAAACTGATAGAAAAAAACTTAAAACAGAAATAGACTCACAGACATTGAAAACAAACTTACGGTTACCAAAGCAGAAGGGGGGGTAGGTAAATTAGGAATTTTGGATTAACAGATACATACTACTATGTGTAAAATAGATAAACAACAAAGACCTACTGTATAGCACAGGGAACTATCGTCAATATCTTGAAATAACATATAATGGAAGAGAATCTGAAAAAACGTTTTGTATATATATAACTGAAATACTTTGCTGTGTACCTGAAACTAACACAACATTGTAAATCAACTATACTTCGATTTAAAAATGTATAAATAAAGTTTAAAAATAATTTTTTAAAAAGCTGTTTTCTGTGTGAACACAATAATCACTGACCTTGTAAGAATGCAGTTTAAACTGTGACAGTATTTTTTAAATGGGGCTTGGGCACGCTCCAGTCAACTAGAAGAATTCAGATAACATCAGTGATGCAGGCAAAATGATCTCCATTAAATATGCCTTTAAAAAAGGTTTGGATCCAATTTGTACAGTACCCACTGCCGGGTCATCATATCAGCAGAATGAAATTTACTGGTTTTATGCAACAACTGTTTTTTTCTCAAATAAGTAACTTTTCTTAGCCCATCTCTAGGTTTAGACCTGTAAAAATCTTAAAATATTGTGAATTTAACAAAAACATTTGATTGGGAGTCAATGCCCTTTTAGAACAAACACATTCTGGCATGTTACTTTTGATAAGACTACAATATTGAAAATATGTCAAAGCCATTCTGCTCACTTGTGCATATTATGCTGAAAATGGCAGCTTTGACGTAAAACATCTGTTTGTGAATTCATTAGCGAAACTGTTACAGACAAATCACGTTAATTATATTTTCCTTAAGATTGTAAATGCAAATCACAGTTTGATTGGCAATTTATTTTCCCGTCCCTCTTTCTAAAACCTTTGTGTGTTTTCGATATGGAGAGGGGGAAAAGACATTTTAGTTGTTTGTTAAGGTTAACCTAATAACTGGGTTTCACTTATGAATTGTTTTAAAATATAAACACATGCATAATCTTTCTTCTGTTGCTTTTTTTTTTTTGGAAGTTGTTACAATCCTTTGAAATTAAATTCTAAAATCCTAAAACGTAATATTTAAAGGAATATTGATTTTCTTTAGATATGGTGAAAACCTTTTAGTCCTTAGTTTTTATCTTCCTCCTCTCCTAAAACAGTGGAAAACACTACATTCATGGTTCTGGCTCCTCCTTGCTGTACTTATTCTTTAAAAGGAGTAAATATTCCTCAAGTTTCTACCTACAAACTACTTTCTATATTTCATTCTCATTTACTAACCAGATCTCAGTTTTCTTGGCCGCACATTATCGACAATTCCAAACATCAAATGCCCAAACCCCAGTCTCTCTTAGACAAGTATTTACTGGTAGATAGCATCACCCCTCAAACTTAAGTCCCAAACTAAACTCATCTAGTCCCTCTCCATTATCCCTGATGTTTCTATTGTTAACCATTCTCCCAGCCATGTAGACTCTAAGCGTTAGTTTTTTTTTTTTAATCACTTTTTATATCCTGTAAGATTTACTACTCAAAATGTCCAAGGATTAGTAGACTAGCATCCATTAGCATCACTTGGGAGTTTAGTACAAATGCAGACTCTCAGGTCCCACCCCAGCTATAATGAATCAGAATGTACATTTTAACAAGATTCCCAGGTGGTTCAAAAGCGCATTAATACCTGCGGAGCACTGCTCTAACATTCCGAAGAAAGTGACCATCTCTCTCATCCATGGTGCTTTAGCATATGGTGGCCACTCTGGTCCTTGTTCACTGTCTGCCCGTGTATAAAACTGTTTCAACTGGATGTTGACAAATTTGGGTCCTATTCTTCTTGCCTTCCACAAACTCCCTTTTTTGCAGTTCTCTTTCCACATCATCAGTTTCTCCTTCTCTGCTGATCATCCCCATCAACACACATGTTCTGCAAATGGTCATCAAAAGAAACCAACAGACCTGGTTGATTTAAGCAAAAGAGGACTTTATTAAAAGGACAGTGCGGTTAGTATCACTATTCCTCTAGCAGTGGATGCTGGTGTCTGTCACTAGCATTGTAGCCAGGATTGCCCCCACAAACTCAAGCATCCTACAACCAGTGCTGCACTAGAAAGTATTTCTCCTACTCCCCACTTTCTTCCCTCCCCAGCTCCAGAGGAGTGGGTACATCTGATTGGTGAAGCCTGCCTCATGCCCACACTCTACCCGATAGGGAGGCTGGTAAAGAGTGTCTAGCATTTTCAGCTTCTACAGTACAAGGAAGATGCTGCCTCCCACCAAGAATCATAATTTATAGTTTAGGGAATTTCCAAAGTTCCCTAAAATTGAAAGGATTCAGATTTGCTGAAAGGCTAAAAAAAAAAAAAAAAAAAATAGCCCGCTTCCACCACACTCACATATCTTTTTTAAAAGTTCGTTTTCCTTTCCCCCTTTTGGTGAAATTTCTCAAAAAGGTTGTCCACACTTGTCCTTATTTCCTCATATCCTATTCAACCCATCCCAGCCTAGCTTCTGTCCTCAAAAGCCATCATATTCTCAAATCCAGCAGACACTTCTTAGCTCACATCAGTTTAACCTTTCAATGTTATTGGATAGTCTCCCAGCTCCCATGGCCTCATTCTCCTGGAATTTCTTTCTTTCCGACTGCTTCAGTTCAGCTTCCTTTGCTGACTTTCCCTCTGCTCAATCTCCGTAGGTTTGTTCTCAGATCTCTATCTCTTCCTCTCTTTAACTCCATTCACTCCCTAAGTATTTTTTCAATCCCAATATTTTCCTGCCTTAAAATTCTTAAGATTCTTAAATCTGATAATTCCTGCCTTTAGAAAAAAAATCTATAGGCTGGTGACCTGTTTGCTGAGCTCTAGAGTTTACATCTGCAACTGCCTACTTCACATTTCTCCTTGGATGTCTAATATACATTTTAATTTTAATATGTCCAAAGACAACTCTTTATTTCCCTCTCTTAACTGCTTCTTTATGAAGTCTCTCCAGTTTCAATAAAGAGTTTCATCAATCACCCATTGATTAAACCAAAAATCTGAGTCATCCTTGATTTATTTTTCTTAAACTCTCATATACGGTTTATCCACAAGTCCATGTTTTCTGCCTCCCAAATTCATTACAGCTCTCCATTCCTTGCAAGGACTCCCCTAGTCTAAGCCATCATCATCTTTTGCTTACAACCAAGTTGCCATTTCTTACTCTCCAACCTCAATTTACAGTGTCCTCCCCTGACACCCACACAGCTTTGGCTCCATTGTTCTCCTTCCTGTTCTTCAAACAAGCCAAGCTCCTTGCCATCCCAAGATTTTGTATTTTTCTTCTGCCTGAGAATGTCAGCAATACTGATTCCCACCCCAGTTTATCCCATGTCTGACTCCACCTTATCTTTCCAGACCCCCTTTTATTCTTACCTTCCCTAAAGTAGCCCACCACTTACCTTATCACATCATTTTGCTTACTTTTCCTTTATAAAGCATTTTAAAATTCTGTAATTACCTTATTTACCGGTTTGGAGTGTTTCCCCCCTGACTAGAAGATAAGCATGATCAAAGCAGAGACTTGTCTTTTTAATACATGGCTGTGTCCCTTGAACTAAAAGGAAGGATGTCTGTTACATAGTAGGCGTTCCATAAATATTTGTTAAATAATTGAATGGATAATTAAGTGAATGACTGATGTCAAAATCCATTGAGATTCCCTAACCTTTTCATTTCTACCCAAATGATTCATCTTTACTCACCGGTGTTAGCTTGATAGCTAGTTAGTTACCCAAGACAAGTTTTCTTACTTTTTTCATTTACTTTTGATTCTGCCTGGGGTTATTAATAATTTTCAATAATAATAATACTGCCTTGGGAAGCTAATAGGAAAATCAAAGGTCATAATGCTGATATTTTCAGAATATCTCCTGGCTGATGTGGACAGTAAATGATATTCACCCATCAATCATTCCTCTGCTTCCTGCAACTGAATTTCCCTGGAGGAGTCATCAGATCCTCTCAATCTTGAAGACTGACAGGAAGTCCCTGTGGACACTAGCTCTATGCAAAATCAGGAGGGATCCTTGACCCTAAGATTTAAAAGTCCCACCTTCAGAACAAAATTAGAAAACTCAGAGGTTAAGTTATAGTCATTGCAGCTTCTGGAAAGGTGTAGAACATGAAGGTAAGTAAAGGTTTTATATACTTGAGATTTTTTAGCTATTTCATAAAAAAGCTGTATAGCTTTTTACCTCTTTTATGTTTAATAAGTGTTTCAGTGGCTAAAGGATAGTTAAACGTTATGCCTTTAAAATATCAGAATCATTTGATTTTACAAAGAAAAAGTTTCACTAATTCACCCAAATCCTCATTTGGGTTAAATAATAAAAATAATATATTTCTAATTAATTGTTTTTAAAAAAGAACTCTTTGTGGATTAACTAGACGATAAACTGGGGAACCCCCTTCTGCCCCACCCTCTGAGCGCTAAAACAGAACATAGCAAAAAGTAAGGGATTTGTAATTGTCCAGGCGCCAGGGAAGGAAGCAGAAGATCCTATAGAGGCACAGAAACGACTTTCTTTGATCTTTTCATACAGGGATTCAGAAGTCTGGTGGTAACAACCTTGACTCTTTTCCTGGTGTTTTCTTTCATGGGAAATTCCAACAGTGCTCCGCAGGTAATCAAACGCAAAAATTGGGACTCCGCGCGTTGTGTGCCTGCCTGCCTGCCTGCCTGCCTTCCTCCCTCTCTCTTTCTCTCAATTTCTTCCCTTCTTTTCCTAATATCTTCTCCCTCCTTCCTTCCCTTCCTTTTCCTTCTTTCCCTCCCCTCCTTTCTTTTTTTGCCTAATAGTGGGCTGGGCAGCAACGCCTTACTAACTGCTTTCCTCTTCTCCCCGGGTTATAGAGACTCTTTGAGAGAAGGAACTGGACTCCTCAAGCTATGCTCTACCTGAAGGGTGCACGTACGTTCCAAATACTTTGCTCTACCGACAGCAATAGAGGGAGATCCGTAGGGGTGCATGAATCGGTGGGATAGATGTAGAGCTGTGGGGAGAGAATCCTATCGAGTTTGTTCCCATAAATAATCGAGGTCATCCTGGTCTCAGTTAGTCAAGGAGAAAGGTCGGGGGGGTGGGGGGAAGATTATCAGAAATCCTCCATCCTAAACCGGAGGGTTGCTGGCTCTTGCCCAAAGGGAGACTGGGATTTCCGGGGACACACCGCCTCACCCTGGCTGGTGAGCGAGATCGCCGCCCCCTCCGAAGCGCACTCGGGGGCCCGGGGGCGGGGGGCGTGTGGGCTTTACCCGTGGTCTCCTTCCTCATCCGCGCCGGCGCCCCAACCCTGGCAGTTCCGCGCGCACCGGACCGGGGGCACCCGGCCCCGCCCGCTCCCGGCCCCGGAACCCCGATCGATCGGGACGGGAGGGCGCTGAGCCCGTGTCTCGCCTTGGCAGAGGGGCGCCGCTTCATCTCCGACCAGAGCCGGAGGAAGGACCTCGCCGACCGGCCGCCGGCCGGTGAGTGCGCGGGGGTGAGGGAGCCGCGGGCTACAGAGGACCACGCAGGACCGGAGGGTCGCGCTCCGCCTCCGAGAAGGCTGGCCCGTGGGCCTTCCCGGGGGAAAGCCGGCCCCGCCCGGCCCCGCTGGCAGCGGCGGAGCTGGGGATCGCAACGCCCGGCCAGGATGGAGGTGGGCGGCGGGGGCCGGGGTTCCGCTCCCGGGCGTCGGGATGGATATGAGAGCTGTGCGCCTGCCCCGCCCGAGAAATGGGCCTCCCGTTTAGGGCATGATCTTTACAAGATTTCTCTTAAACGCTGTTGTTGTTGCCAATGTTGGTATCATCATCATCATCATTATTAAAACAGTGATTTGCCTAAAAACAGCTCTATTATATTACTAAAAAGAACTATCAAAAGGTTCAAAACCAGAAATAGTGAAGAAGTGGGAGCCTTTAAGGATGGAGCCAGAGACTGTTTCATGATAAACCTTTCCATGCCATTGGATTTAAAAACAATACCATTCATTTCGATAAACAGTTCAAGATTGTTAAAAATACCAAGTAGACTCATTTTGAAAAATACCAAACACTGTGTTGAGCACATAGGTGCTTATCAAATTTTTGTTTACCTTCTTCAAGCCTGCAGTGTAATTAACCTTTTTTTTTTACCATAGGAGGGTAAGTTTTGTTTTCCCACTTCAGCAACTCCCAAATTAAAAATCATGGTTTGTGTTGAATCAGGACCGTTTGTCTTCTGTCAACTTAGATTTGAAATAGTTTTGAATATTTTGCAGATTCTCCTTCAGTCAAATAATTGACTTACATGCGGCCAAGAATGTAGATTATTTTCTCAAACTGCTTTGGAAGGAACAAGAGAGAAGATAGTCCAGGCTCCAGGCAGGGTCCCATCTAAACCTTTCAGCCCAGACATCCCATTTTAAGCTCTGAGGGGGAAATTTCTCATGGGTTCTTTATCTTAATCCTCCTTGCTTTCATGAAATTCTCTGTAGTATATAGTTTAAATTTTCTTCCATTCCCTGTAATACACAACATAACCAGTTGTAAGCAATGCCTAAGGGAAGTGTGAAATGTTTTCACTTGTAAAAATCATTCTGTGTAAGGGGCTCTTTGCTGAGGGATCACAGAGGTATTTCACAGAGATTTTCTAGTATTATAGCATACTGGAATAGGATTTATCTATATGAATATTTAAATGCTGATAGAATCTGTATTTACTTTTTCGTTTCTCCAGAAAGACGAAACCCAAATCCCCAACTACTAACTCTTCCAGAGGCAGCAGCTGTGCTATTGGCTTCCTTGCAGAAGCTGCAAGAAGGTATAATTATAGTGACCTCTTTTAACTGCAGGACAGGGAAGCTTTGAGTGCTTTGAGCATTCTGTGTTGACTACAATGAAGTTGCTTTTATTTATTCAGATTTTTAAAAATAATTAACGGTTGCCCACACCACCAGAAATTCACAGAGATGTTTATTATTTTAATACTAGCATGCTGCTCATTAAAGTGTTTCCCAAGAATGTAAAAACATTTCCTTGATAATACCGGAGGATTTCATGTTAATTCCATAATCCATAGCCTACTGGAGCTTTTATTTCTGTTAGAACTCCAGAAAGTCCAACTTCATTATTTTATATTTGAAAAAACTGAGTCCAAAAGAGGTTTAAATAATCGCAAATCTAGTTACTCGCTATTAAAGTTTGAACCAAATGAAATAGCTGAAAATCACTGATTTTTTACTTACAAACACAGCAGTTTCTTATGGTTTACCCTAAGAGATTGGGCTAGTTCTGATTCTAAGCCTGTGTGATTTGCACTATATACTATATAGCTTCTTCCATATCAGGATTAGGTGTGTTCTTCAAATAGAGGCTTTCTGTCAATGTAGCATTAAAACCACTCATTTCATTAAGGCATCTTGTTGCACACTAGCCAGGGCTTTGGAGTATAACAGGACTGGGTTCAGATCTTGGCCTTGTTGCTTTACTAGCTGGGTGACCCTGAGCCTTAGTGTTATCACGGGTAGAATGGAATAATGACATCCACGGGCAGGTTGCTCTAAGAGCCAAAAAACAAAGTACATACTTTCTATTAGCATTAACAATAGAGGTCATCAAAGCATATTCAGCAGATCTAGATTTTTCTTCTCAAAAATTGTAATGATGCCATATTTATGACATAATTTAAATGTTAAAATGTATTTAACAAAATACAGTGAGTAGTCTAGTGGTCAAAGCATAGGCTGCTGGCCATGGACTCTGACACTTGTGCTAGCGGAGAAAGCCTGTGTGCTCCCTGCCTGTTATTGGACGGGCCCCATCAGGGAGGGGAAGAGAGCAGGGGGCTCTTTCTGGCTTCTAGTTTATGGCTTTGTTGTGAAAAAACAAAAACAAACAAAAACCTATGAGAAGCAAATGGAAGAGAGTGGGATAAAGACATCTTTTTTTTTTTTTTTTTTTTTT